CTGTAGCTTTGAAATCTGGTAGTAAACCTGAAAATTCCATTTTAAAATTCCTCAACACTGTTTTAGCTATTCTAGTTCCTATGCATTTACCTAAAAATTTTAAAATCACCTTGTTAATTTATAGACAATGTAAGGATTTTGACTAGGGTCACACTGGAACTACAGACTTGTTTGAACAGATTCAACATCTTAAAGTGTTTAGTATTTGCATGGTAGAAGTTTTCCATCTTTTTATTTTTGACCTTTCTATATTCTTATGTTTAAAGTATGTTTCTTGTAAACAACAGTTTTTTTTTAATCCATTCTGAAATTATTTGTCTTTTTAAAGGCCATTTATATTTGATATAATTAATAATACAGTTGAGTTTTCTATCTTGCTCTGTTTTCTATTTACCTCATCTGTTCTTTGTTCATTCATTCTTCCTTTCCTGCCTTTCTCATATCAATCAAGTATGGTTGACAATTCAATTCTATCTTCTCTATTACCTTCTTTTTTACACCTATAGTATCATTCTCCCACTGGTTACACTAAAAAAGAATCACCCTTAATACTCTATATCTTAAATCACTACCAAATGCAAAAATAGTATTTTAATCTTTCCACATAATGGTTATTGCTATTATATGTCTGACTTCAACATACATTTTAAACCCCACAAGATATTCTTATTATTTATACTTTAAACAGTCTTTCTATCTTGGCATACATTTACCTTTTCTGGAGCTGTCTATTTTTGCTTATACTACTGTGATTTATTCAAGAATCACTTTCCTTTACCTTGAAGAATATCCTTCATAGATCTTGTAGTGTATGGCCAGCCGGCAGTGAATTCTCTTTAGCTTTTGCCTGAGTGTATCTTTTCCCACCTTCAATTTTAACTTTTTTTTCCAGTGGATCTAGAATTCTAGCTTGATGGATATTTTTTGTTCCTTTCAGTACCTTAAAGTGTCTTTCTATTATCTTCTGGCTTCCATGACTTTCTGCTGAAGTCAGTGTTCATTCATATTGTTCCTCCAAAGGTGACACTTTTTTTTCTTCTGGCTGGTATAAATATTTTCTTTTCATCTTTGGTTTTCAGCAACTTGAATCTTACTGACCTAGTTGAGGTTTTCTTTGCTTTGGGTTCACTGAACTTCTTGAATTTCTGGGTTGACATCTTTTATCAAATATGGAAAGTTCTCATGCATCATTTCTTTGAATATTGCTTCTTGCCCTCCTTCTTCTTTCCTGCTAGTCTCTGTAGACTTATGTTTGAGATCATCAGCCCTATCTTCTTTTGTGTCCAAGTGCCTAGTTAGTTCCTGATTTAGCAGTCCAAGAAGTTCATTTAATTCTTAATTTCTTTTTCACAGAATGCAATAATCTACTGAAATTCTCTGAACTCATTTACTGCATTTCCAGGGTAGTGTATTTAATATGTTATCTATGGTTATTTAAACATCCTTGACTATTAATTCCAGATCATTTCTTGGTCTCTGTCTATATTAAACATATTATTGTTAATTGTCATCAAATACTCTTTTCTTCTTTGCATGTCTGATAAATTTTTTATTGCATACTGCCTTTTTTAAGAGTTCTAGCTTTGGTGTTCTTCCTCGAATGAGTTCTGAGCTTTGCTCTAGCAGATAGCTAACCTGTTTGTGGATCATCTTAATCCTGCAAATGCCTAGTTTTAATTTTATTAGGGAAAATCTACTTTGGTTTTATTCATTTTCCTAGGGCGTTATTTGTATGGCTCCCTTGGTGGTTCAGACAGTAAAGAATCTGCCTGCAATCCAGGAGACCCAGGTTCGATCCCTGGGTTGGGAAGATCCCCTGGAGAAGGGAATGGCAACCCACTTGCCTGGAGAATCCCACGGACAGAGGAGCCTGGTGGGCTACAGTTCATGGGATTGCAAAGAGTCAGAGATGACTGAGTGACTAACACACACACACCCCCCACATGGCATTATTTGTACACTTAGCATCCTTTAGGAGGGTCTCAAACCAATGTCTAAGTTGTTTACCAAAGTCCATTCTGGCTGGGTCCCAACTTAAATCTCTCTCCAGAATTGTGATTTACATGATCTCAAATTTCCACTTCTCAGCCGCTATACAGTATCAGGGCTCCAGAATCTGGCCCCTGGGACTATGGAGCATGGGCATTCAGCTAAGGAACTCGGGAATTTCCACAGGGACTTGTGGGGTTTTCTCTCTGTGGCCCTCTCTCTGCCAGCTGATTTCCCTCGTGCCCAATCTACCTTTGCAGCTCCAAGCTCCAGCTGAGTGTCTGCTGCCTGGTGAAACTCCCTGCTTCGTCTCAGCCTCCCAGTGCTTCTGCTGGGGAAAAAAAAAAAAATGGCCCCAAGGGAAATTGTGTACATGGGCTCATCCCTTGCCTTCTCTGACTCAAACATTGCAGCCACCCCCACTTTGGCTGCTGGTAATAAACGAAAATGCAGTATTATATATTTTTTCCAGGTTTTGTAGTTATTTCATGGTAGAAGTGTTTAAGTGTGTTATTAGCTATCTATCTTGTCCATATCCAAAGTCTTGTCTAATAATTGCATGAATGAATAAATCTTATGCTCACCCTGATCTTCTTAAAAACAAACCTAAAATGCAGGATTTCAAAATATGTCTTAGTTTATCTCCTTTGTATTAGATCAACATCCAAAGTAAAGTACTCTTCGGGTTCTGACTGTGGCATCTTACAAGTTAGCACTGCCCCTCATAATTGGTCTATTCTTAAATCTAACAAGCATCCCTTTTACATTTTTCTCTTAAATATAACTTGATAAATCTGCTGAGTGGTAGGGCAGTAGGCTCAGAATCAAACATCTTACTCTGATCTAGGAAGAATCTACTTACTAGGATATCTGTGGCAATTCTGTCCAAACTGTTAATTTTTAGTTTGCTCAATATTAACGTAAGTTTACATTTACCTGTTCATAAAGACAATGGGAAGGTTGGCTGAAATTAGAAAGTGTCCTATGTATAAGGGCTATTTATAAAGTGAAACAAAGTTAAGCCGGTAAGATATTCTTCCTACATGGTAGATGTTTCTTATTCTTTTGTAACTACTGCCAAAAAATTCATTTCAGGAACTTCTCTAGAATACTGCCAGGGATCCCTCTCAAACTTTATCATTGTATAGGTAACAGAATCTACTTTACAAAAATAGAAAATTTCTATATGCCCATTTTTCTGGCCCTTTATCTGTCATTTAAGGCTTTACCAAATATTATCAAAGAATTCCTGTTCTACAGGCCAATAGCAATTTTATGTGATGGGAAAGAAACATTAAATTTTAATTCATAATCCTCTTACTAGCTAGGTAATGGGCAATTTACTTAAACCTTTAAACTTCTGTCCTTTGTTACATGGAGATAAAATGTTTGAAAATTTGCTTTGAAGATTAGGGAAATATATGAAGGCAACTATTATATTTCCATCTGAGAGTTATCCAAACAAAATTGCATCTATATTAATACCACTGCTGCTATAGTATTCTGCATAGAATTCATCGGAGCTTGGATACTTGAACTAATTTAAATAGCCTCATGTTTTCTCACTATCTTTTCTCCTATTATGATTTTAATTATCTCCAGTCAAAGTTTAGTCCTTTCTCTCCTAAAGAGTGCTCTGCCTAGAAGCGACTACATGGCCTCAGAAAGGAATGTGTATATTTATATTCCTCTCTTCTCTTATTATTACTTATTTTCAAGAGACTTACCTTTTCCTGTTTACTGTCTTGCTCCAGACAGATTTAACAAAATCATTTTGCCTCTTTTAACATTGTTAAAAAACTTTAATTTCATGCTGTGCTCTTTTTTTTTCCAGTTACCACTACTGATGGTCTATGCCCTTTCTTGCGGGATTCTCCCTTAATTTTTCCTTAGCTACTCTTTAAAATAACCTTAGTCTTCTGTGGTGCAGCCTCACCGACATCTTTGCCACTTTGCGATCTCTCCACTTGTTCATATTTAGTTAGCTGAAAGTAGAGGAAACTCATTTTTCCCTCTTCCTCCTTTCATTTCCCCCTTTCTCTTCTTCCCTCCTCTACTTTCTTCTTAGCTTCTCATACCTCTTGTTACGAAATTTAAAAGCCTATTTAGCAAGATCCTGGTTTTTTTCTTACGTTAAAAAAAGCGATGTCTGTGTGTGTGCGCACACCTGTGTCCTTTTCACACACGTTTGTCTCATTTACTCCCAAGTCGTAAACTTCGAGAGAAGGGAAAGCCAAGACCTCTGTTAATATATTCCTCTGTATGAACAAACGCTCATCACATGTCAAAAAATACATGCTTGAGGCTGCTCTCTAGAGAAAGGTTTTCAACCGAGTCGTATATTGTAATAGAGCTGATGTTCTTTCATCAGTAAGTTGTGCCCAAGAAATTTACTTCCTTCCAATCCTTCCAAGCAGTTCAAGCAAACCAATTTAGAAGAGAACACGACGAAACCAACTGACCGACTAAAATCTTTTCCTGAAGCACCGGAGGGGGGCACAATTAGGAGGCAACGTGTGGCCGCGCTGGGTGGGTGAGGCTCCCATCTCCTGGGAGCCCACCTGGGGAGAACGCTGGGCTGCTCCACAGCTGGGCGCTCTGGCCACCAACCCCACCCCGCCTCCGCCCCCACGCCAGGCGCAGCCGGCGCAGCGCAGCGAGCACGCGGGAATCGAGCGCCACGCCAGCGGGGCAATTGGGCATGCTCAGAAGGCTGGCAGGCTTGGGTCTCACCCAGGCGGCTTGTGCGTTACACCAGCGCGCAGCCCGGGGAAGAGGAGGAGGACCGGGCTGGGGGAGGAAGGGGAGGAGGAGCGGCCAGCAGTAGCCACGACCGCCACCACCAGGCAGAGGAAGAGTTAGTGAGGAGGGAAAACCTCCCACTTGAAGCGCCTGGCGTCTGCTTGTGGAAAAAAGACTAGGAGATAAAGGAGGGGGCGGGAAGAAGAAGGAGGCTGCGGGGAAAGAAGTGAAGGGGGAGATAGAGGGAGAGAGGACGTGAATTGAAAGGGCTAGAGCGCGCAGGGAGCCCCCGGCGCCCGGCGGTCGTGCGGGGCCGGGAGCGCCGCCGCTTGGGCAGGTGCCGCGGCCGCTGCCCGGAGGCGGCATGTGACGCGCGGCCGCAGCTGCCCGCGGGCAGAGCGCTCTCGGACCCGGGAGCGCACACCGCGGGGCAAGTCAGTGCCATCTCGAATCCCCACGCTCCTCGTCAGTTCGCCGGGGCGGCGGGGGCGCTTCTGGAAAGACGAGTGATGAACTGAAGGGCGGCTCCGGGCTTGGGCGCGCAGTCCGAGGACACTCTCGTCCTGAACGCTGAGCGGGAGGCGACCAGCGCACGGTGGACCGGGCGCCTCCCGCGCACCGGGGGATCGCGGACGACCGGTGCGGGACGGCCACCTGGAGTGCAGCGGCCAGGTAAGGACGGCCTCCGCCAGCCCGGCGCTGGGCAAAGCGGGCGGCGGCAGCGGCTGACCTGGTTTCATGCCTTATCGCGTTGCAAAACAAGGAAAAAGTTTTCTGCGCGGATAGGAAATGTCCTTTCTTTGGGGAGTTTAAAGAGGGTACTGGGGCGGGAGGAGACAGTTGGCCTGTCGATTTGGGGGTGAGGGCTTGAACCTGGAGAGCGCGGAATGTGGTGCTGAGTTGGAGTTCTAGGACCGACGGTGGGGAACGCCGGGGTGACACCACGTGCGGGGAACGCGACTGGAATAATAGGAGTGGTGGCCGGGGAAGAACCTGGGATGTCCGCCCCCACCCCGGCTCTCCTTCGCTTGGATTCTCTGTCCGCCGAATGCGGAATCCGAGGCACGGTGTGTCCGACAAGAGGAGCTTCTTGGCTTCCGTATGTCTGTGTGTGCCCCTCTATTTGATTTCCTAACGCTTTAAGAAGGCTAAAGCTGACACCTGCCACCCTCGCAGTGGAGCCGCTAGTTGAGATTGCATTTCGCTGGGGGCGAAGAGGCAGATGTGGCACTTAGCTTAACACCTGGGCGAAGGTGCAGAGCCCGGCTGCGAGTCTTTACAGATCCAGGGAGAGCCTGCGCTCGCGTTGCGCCGGATCTACCCTCTGGAACCCTCCCCCGGGGCAGCCTCCTTACAGCTGGGTTAATTTCTGTGTGATTTTTAAGCGGTGGGGGCTGGAGGAGGGCTGATTTTAAGCAGCAGAATTCACTTGTCTACTTCGCGCTTGTGCGTGTTGGAATTGTGATCCTATTCGGCGTGTGTGCGACTCTCCTGGCACGCGGATTCGAAGTGGGAGAGGAAGCAGAGGTCTGGGAATTGCGTCCATATGGACAGATTTCAAAACGCAAACATTCGTTTGTCTGTAAGTGCTATTTGAACCTGTCCGATGGCTGTAAGGATGTGCTTTCCTCCCGGTGTCCGCGTTTGCTCTCCTTAGGAGGTAAATGTATTTATCTAATCGTTTATGTTAAGGACACCGATTATTTCACTGTCTGCTTTGCACAGACCTTTCATTTCTCTCTCGGCCTCAGAATGCCAGCAAGCCAGCAATCCTCCATGTGGGGTCTTTCGGGGTCACGATTTGAAAAATAATCTGTGTGAAAAGTATATCTAGTTATGTAGTCCCAGATGATTTTATGTGATGAGCTCATTATATTGCATGAAGCATCCATCACTATTTTCTATGTTTAAAACAATGCCCCTGTATTTACTTATGAGGCCATGTATAAAAACATACACTCAGAATGAGGAGGGCTGACCCTGGAACAAATCCATGAATATAGACAGGTTTGTGGTAGCAGCTTATTAATTAAAACAAAAGAAAACCCTGAGGTCTTTTTGTTCCAAATGTGGTGGGATAGACATGGCGATGGGTGCACCCTCTTGTTATGGGAGCTGGTATTGCGGAGTATACATAGAACATGCCTGCCTCTCCAGCCTGCATTCAACATGCCACAGCAATGTGGTCTTGATCATATATTCCTAGCACTGAATAGCCTATCTTTTTATTTTGTTTACAATGGTTTGTCGCAATTAGCTTAATATGTAATTAGCTGTTGAGCTAGAAAGCACAATAATTCTGAAATGTGTTTCCATATGGAAATATAACTTGAGCTTAAATTACTAATTTAAAATTAATTAATTGCAGGTCTGATTTAGACTTTTTCTGTAGGCTTGGGAGGATGCTATAAGATTGAATTTAATCTGAAAATAGTAGTATTGAAGTACTTACTTTTAGATAGAAACCAATATTTATTTCAGGATACTTGACATTTTAAAAAATATATTGGACAAAAAGATTTTGAGAAGGATTTTTGATAATGTGTACTTTCACATGGAAAATTATGAGAAAAGTGTAACTTGGGAAAAAGGAAAGCATGTTTATGGAATTGGTTAAGATTTAAAGAATGATTGAGAGTGTTACAATCATGAGTAGTTCTGCATTAAACCTACATTTAAATTTACTTAGGAAACTTTTTAAGCTTAGAGAAATGAGTGCATATATATTATTTTATTTTTCCTCTTGGGACAAAAGGTAAATGTATAACTTCAAAATTTTTATTTCTGAAGAGTATTTAGGCATACTTAAAAGTTCTTTAGGGTGTACTCTTTCATTTATCTTCCTTATAAAGACAACTGATTTATTTCCTTAAAAAAAGAAATTTTGTTCGTTATTTTAAGCTACAGTGTGTGAAAACATGAACTTTTTTGCATGATATTTTAGCTTTCAATCGCAGACAACCTGTTGAACATGAGCCCGGAAAAAAAAAAAAAATACAAAATTCGCAGAACTAGAACTTCTTGAATCCATACCAGGAAACTGATTAAACAGAAAATTAAACCATCTGATTAAAAGCCAAGTTGCCTTATGTATTTGGACTTAAGAAAGTAATAGTTTTGTTCAAGTTTTTACCTAGTATTTCCTCTATTATTCCCCAAGCCAAGGTAGTGTTCTTTCCTAATAAAGTTGTTAACATTGGCAAAATTAGTTGCTTACCCATAAATGGCCTGGATGTTGTCAGTGTAACTATTAAGAAACTGGGTCTTGTTTGCAGTGCAGGGAAGTTTATGTTGAGAACAGCTGTGGTGTGGTGGCGCTTCAGATAGGAGATGAATGAACTGTGACTCTCACAAAGTATAAACCTCTGATCAGGATGCAGAGTGATGCGCCTGTCCTTCACTTATGAGACCTAATTTGATATCGTAATGTATTGTGACTAATAGCATTATCCTCCCATTGTGGTTCTGAAGTATCAGTGAGTGACTGGAAATATTTTACACAATAAATTGGTGAATTTAAAACATCTGTCTTACAGAAGAATATCAAAAAGGCAAATGTGGCTTCAATAAAAAAAAATCAAATCCCTCCAAAACTTTAAAAAATTAATCAGGATAATCAAACGTGTCTCATGCTTAGTCCGCAAATGCAGTGCTTTTCAGGTGTGATGGCCGTGAAATGTTCCACAGATTTTTCATCTGTCAGTCTCATTTAATCCAGTGGAATCCCTGTCCTGGTTATTAGTCTTAACAGCACCTTGGGTTACAATTTCACCCTGAATGGAAAGTTTTAACTTTAGAGGCAAATGTGAAGAGATCATTGAAGGAATTTTACAGGAGGCAAAGCTAGTCAAACTAGAAATTAATTTCAGTTTCTTGAATCGGACGGTCTGTATCTTCTCCATTAAGGAAGTGTTCCTGTTCCTGTCAAAATCAAAGTAGCCTCTTTGAATCCTCTATCAGCCATCACTTCTTCCTCCAGGGGCCCTTCACAGAAAGGTTGTGCAGGTGAAAAGGGGACTCTTTTCTGTTGTCAACTCAGCATCTGGAGGGCCCTGAAAGTTAAATATCCTGGGCGGTACAGATCTGCATTTGCACTGTCCTCAAACAAAGAAATAAAGACAGTTTTGTTGCTGTGAAGCTTTTGCAAATGTTGAATCACAGTGGGCCTTACAGGAAAAGCGTGTTCCTTTTCCAGAGCATGTCTTTGCCAGTGCACAGGTGGAGATGATCAGGTAGTGGTTGTGGAGTGGCTTTGTGGTTGGAAGACATGATGCCTGTGCACGTGCTTTTTGATCAGTCTCTAACGCACTATGAAATGCAGTGCATGTTTTGAATGCATACCTTCCTTAATATTCCTTGGCCTGGAGCCCAGAGAGCCAGTGTGTAGGTGTCCCCCTGGCTCAGTAGTTGGCTGCTGTGTGTTCCTTTTTGTCCGGAAGTTTGGGTGGCTTGCAGGCTCTCCCCTTCGGAACTTCCTGCTCACAGACTTCTGAAGGCCAAGTTCTCTGGCTGGCGTGCGCCTTCTCAGACTTCCTCTGCAGCTTGACACATGGACACAGGACCCAGGGTCTGCTGGCGATCATAGCAAGCCGCAGGAGGAATATTTGAGCCACTGCCATCTTCTTACCAGTTGTGCCAGCTCATCCTGAAGCCAGCCAGAATGAACATCTTGAGGAGAAACAATGGTGGAAGAAACCTGTGGTAGCTGGCAGACAGACTGTGGGCTTTGAGCTCTTGTCTCCCCCAGCCCTGCTCTGCAGAGACTTGGGGTCTGGCCCTCCAGATTCCTTAACCAGCACAGCCCACAGAAGACGGAAGTCTGAGATGGGTTTACCTACCGTGACCCTAGTGAACTCTGCTGATTCCCACGCCTAGCCAGCTTCAGTTTGTGCATCTCTTATTGTATTTGCCATGTCACAGGACTGAACTTCTCCCTTGTATTCGGTTTGCCTTTGTAGGACTGAAGCCATCTCGGAAAGATTAGCATGACCTTGACAATTAGTCTCCCTCTTTCCCAGAACTTCTGCCCAGAAGCAGCAGTCCAGGCCTTCTCCCGCCAGCCTCCGCTGCAGCCCCAAAGTGGACAGACCCTGGGCCTGAGGCACGGCCGCCCTTGTGACTGTATCATTTCTGCCTGGAGACTTTGCTGCCAAGTTCCACTTGACGGATCTCCTGTGTGTCATTGTTGGCAGGATCAAATCTCTGTTCTCCATACTCCTCCTGGCCACTGTAATTTGAGTTGTTGACTCTCATTACAGAATTAATCCTTCATTAGGTCATTTGTTCTAGCCTAGCCCGGGCTTACTTCCTGTCCCCAGTGTTCCCTTGAAATCCGGCACACCAGCTGAGGCATGACATATCCTACCTTCAGTCACCTCTATTGCAGGAAGTGGAGTTTGTCTAGACATCCTGGGTTGAGCAGGATATCCTCCAGTAACTACTGTTCAGGTCAAATTCAGGTGAGGCTAAACCAGAGTAAAATATTACCAGCCAGTTTCAAAGAGGAGGGGGCTGCCCGGTGTCTCTTGCAAAGACTGTGCATTTATGGTTATGAGGTGCTTTATTGTTCTCCTAAGGAAGCCGCCTAATTGATCATAAGTAAATATGGCCATGGCATTAGATTCACTCAAAAATATCCTGTCAGTAAGCTCTGGGAAAAGGGATCTGCTGACAGCCTTTGTCAGTATTTTTGTATGTATTACTGTGGATCAGATTACCTCATTAGAATTGGCTTTGGGAC